ACGATTAATGTATTATAAATGTCAAATGCAGGACCTCCAGCATGTTTTTTCCCAATTTTTTGATTAAGGTTATTTGCTTGAGTATTGGAAAGTATCAAAAATCTTCAGAATTTGAATGGAATGCTGGAGTATATTTTTTCTTCTAGATTTTCCACTTTTTTGCCCTAGAAGTTGTAACAAATTTTTGGTTGTTTCGAAAGTTGTCATTTGTAATATACAAGTAAAGTAATATCATTTAAAGAGAATAATATTAAAATTATAAGCAATAAATAAAAATTATTATGAAAAGAATACAAAAGTAATTAAGGCAGGGGAGGGCTGATAGTTAGGCAGAGCAGGCTGGCCATTGGGTGAGGGGCGATGCGAACGAGGCGGAGGTCGGAGGGCACAATAATGTTCATTCAAAGCGTTCCTATTAAAAATATTAAAGTTTCTCACCCAATGATGTAGAAGACAGTTCTGAACAAGGTTTGGGCATAAATCCATATTATGTCATTCTATAATTGACGGTTGACGATAAGAAAGGCTGAAATTGAGAAAAAGAATTATCTAAAATAGTTTTATATTAAATATCTTGTCATTTAATCTCCAACTGTATTAAAAAGGATCATATGAACGATATGGTAATGTTACACTAGTTGAACTTTGAAGCAAAAGGCTAAACTAAAGAACTGGAAAAATTAAAAAAAAAGATTGCATCAGATTCGTGAAGAGATCACTGTAAGAGCTATACGTATGCGAGAAACAATCCGACAGGTTTGTGCGAAATATCAGAGTATAGTGGTCAGTCTAGCTAAGTTGCAACTTCTAAAAAATGCTCTTTTGATGAGAACATGTATTCATTTTCGATTTTAGGGTAGTTTTCTTTCATTTTGTGTCGTAAAGAAGTCTTTGCAATGACTACTTCCTAGATTCCCAACAATCAAGCATTTTGTGAAAAGTGATGTTGAATTTGCTATTGCTTCCAAGTTAATTTGCTATTTTCAGGTTGCTATTCTTCATAAATTTATGCTTTTACGTATATCTAGATTATATTAGTTAGTTCTTATCAGATTTCACTTTTTATTAATTTTCCATTGTTTTGTATCACTAAACGCAGTGACGTTAGTTGATATAAGTGTTTTTTGATATAGTAATTTTTTGTGTAAAATATGTGAATTAATACTTTATTATTAATTTCTCGAATCCATTTATAATAAATGAAAAGATAAGATGATATCTCCAATTATTCTGGCTATTATTAGTTATTTTGTTCTTTATGGGTAAATAATTCACAGTCTGTTGAAAGGAATTTGGTAGATTGAGGAGAATCAATGGAAAGGAGTATTATTTCTTAGGGGAATACGATTGTTTCAAATTGTTTGGAATACAAATGGGATTA